GGCTGTAAAGAACTTACGAGGGCATTTATGTTGCTAATATGGGTTTGATACATTACGTAGTCGCTATTGGGCGGAATATAACTAATGACAAACATTATCTCATTTACTCCATCTTCACGTGGATCTCCAATATTAACAGCAACACACATTTGCTCGGGGAGAGTGTCTGTTTGTATAAGACACACTTCACGGCTAGCGAATTTAGTTGACACCGTAATGAGAACCCCTCCACCTCTTGTAACACCCGAGTTCGGACGACAGAAAATCTGCTGTCAACCATGTCTCAACTAAGATGATAATATATAATATTTGGATATTGGGTGTTATGCGATTAGGATAAGTATCCGAATCGGTTGGCGGGCCAAAGCTCTGCGTTCAGTAACTTTCCGCAAAGCGATTCCGTGACACCCAGCTTAAAATTAACCCGCGTCAGGGAGTCCGTCGATACATCCCGTTTAATGAGCTTGAAGCATGATAACGATTGCTTGTCAATGCCTGTATGTCTGGCCACATAGTTAATTACCTCTTCTGGTTCAACTTTCGGTAGAAAAGAAGACAAATATAGCCATTTGAAGCGAGAGGCGACGCCCAGCTCAGAGCTTTTGTTAGCACCAACAACACGCATTCCATGTTTATGTTTATCATTCGTTTTGTTTACAACAACGCTGTCTGAGCTATGATTATTATCGATGTTTTGATCGCCTTTCTTCACAGTGTTACTAGCCGACGCCGCTGCCTGAGTCGAATATGCCATGGGTGCCAAAGCGGAGTCCCGCTCGTATCAGCAACACTAGCAGAGGCGGCAGAACAAGAGATTATATGCGTGGGCGTATTCAGAGTACGCGCAGTAGAACTAGCATCGAAGTCGTTGACGCCCGCGGCAGCAGTAATTATCTCTTTTATGTAACTGTTCGCCTTTTGCTTTATGTTAAGAAAGTCGCGTATATACGTGCGAAGGCTTTGGACCTCATCAGTCAGCGATGAAATGGCACACTCCTTATCGTGGAGCTTACTTTGTAAAGAGCACAGCTCTGTACGAAGATCTTCAGTAGTTTTAGCAAGAGTAAGCATATCTATGACTTGCGCTGAATTTAGTAACCAAACTAAAGAACAAGACTCCACTTCCCTCCATTTTCAAAGTTTAGCCAACAAAGTAAAGGAGTCCGGCTGTCCATGAATGCTGTAAACGAGATTGAGGCGAAAGTGTCTGCTCTGGTTTTTGCGGAGATGCAGAACTATTCATCAATTGAATTTTAAAAATTTGTTTTGCAACGTTTTACCTAACGCATTCCAATAAAAGTACAATCATATCATATCGCACACGATCTTCAACGGTGACGCGGCTCAAAATAACACGTTTGCCAGAAACTGCGAAAAACGACTTTAGACTTTACCAAAGGGTCTTTTCAACAAATTATAACAAGAATGTGCTCCAGCTTTTGCTCAAAGGTAAATAAAAGCTCTGCGTACATTTTTGGCGCAAAATTTCAAAAATTACAAATTGTGAATTGTGTCACTTTTGAAGATCGTGTGCGATATGCATTAAAAAGATCTCAAAATGGTTGTACTTGGTAATTTAAATTAAAATATTTATGTATACCCTTGTCTTCGGCTAATTAGTTACGTTTTGACCACATTTGGCAATATTACTTTCGTTTATTTAATGCTTCTTTTTATAAAAATCCAGAGCTTATTTCGAGGTGTCGATATATTTAAAAACCGTCATTTAAATCCAAATTTCCAACTTTGTAAAAAAATTTAAAACTCAACAAACTTTACTAATTTTCCCAAAAATTTCAAACTTATTTAAAATTTTGAGAAAAATTTTAGCTATGCAATTTTATAGCCCATTCCATTTTTTAGTATAAGGTGAAATTTCAAGACGCTGAAAAATCGCGTTAAGTTTTAATATTTTTTTTGCTGACGGTGGTGGGCATTTTCTTCCATATAAAAGAAATTTCGTCAGCAAAAAAAAATCATTAAAAATCAACGAGATTTTCCAGCGTCTTGAAATTGCACCTTATACTAAAAAATGGAATGGGCTATAAAACTGCATACCTTAGCAAAGTTTGTTGAGTTTTGAAATTTTTTAGACATTGAACAACCGGCCCTAAATAAACGAATGAAATATTGCCAAAACTGGTCAAAAAGTAACTAACTCAATCAGCTGACAAATGTAAGTACAATTATATATGTTAAAAACATCTCAAAATGGTTGTAGACCAACTAATTAATGTAGGTATAAGTACCTGAAAATTAAGAAAAAGTCTTTTGACAGTTTCAATTAAAGTACAAACTATTACTTCTCTGGATAAGATTACTAATTAAAAATATTAATACTTTTACTTACTTAATTCCAATAAGTATAAAAATATGAGTATAAATTATATATGTTAAAAACATATAAAAATGGTTGTAGAACAACTTATTAATTTATGTATAAGTACCTGGAAACTAAAAAAAAAGTCTTTTGCCAGTTCCAGTTAAAGTACAAACATATTCTTAATTTATTTATAAAAAAATTCTTAATTTATGAAATATTAATAAAATACGTTTTTACAGTTGAAATATGTACCTACATTTTTATTTATAAGTATTTAAATACACATTTTTACATATAACGGGTGATTTTTTAAGAGCTTGATACCTTTTTTTTTAAAAAAAACGCATAAAATTTGCAAAATCTCATCGGTTCTTTATTTGAAACGTTAGATTGGTCCATGACATTTACTTTTTGAAGATAATTTCATTTAAATGTTGACCGCGGCTGCGTCTTACGTGGTCCATTCGGAAAGTCCAATTTTGGGCAACTTTTTCGAGCATTTCGGCCGGAATAGCCCGAATTTCTTCGGAAATGTTGTCTTCCAAAGCTGGAATAGTTGCTGGCTTATTTCTGTAGACTTTAGACTTGACGTAGCCCCACAAAAAATAGTCTAAAGGCGTCAAATCGCATGATTTTGCTTATTTACGAAGCCATTCAACCAGAAATGAGCCTCATCGCTGAACAAAATTTGTCGATAAAAAAGCGGATTTTCTGCCAACTTTTCACACATTCAACACATTTCGAACCGAACACTGATTTTGGTAATAAAATTCAATGATTTGCAAGCGTTGCTCGTTAGTAAGTCTATTCATGATGAAATGTCAAAGCATACTGAGCATCTTTCTCTTTGACACCATGTCTGAAATCCCACGTGATCTGTCAAATACTAATGCATGAAAATCCTAACCTCAAAAAAATCACCCATTACATATGCACATATCAGTAGTATTACAGGCTAACCTAATATTCACGCACGCCGCCAATTTATTGTCAAAAATTTCTCATGCACATGCAACTTGTATGAGATCAACCGAAATTGAACGGCGTGCGTATGAAGCTAACTCAATTTCCAATTTTTGTTCTGCGTGACATTTTGATTTGACGTTTCGCTCAATGAAATCAAATGCAAACGCATGCAAGTCGATTTCAGGTGACGCAAAAAAAACAAATTCGACGGCATGCGTACCAAAACGCAAGCCGCGAATATTAGGTTAGCCTGTTAGGTACAAAAATATGCAGGCCTTTTCTGCTGACCAAATTTGTCGGAATTGAAATGTCAAAAAGTCCTGTTTAATTTTATTTAAATATCTTCATGTTTTTTTCCTTGAAATACAAATATCGTTACCTTAATACACAATGGCCCTAATCAACATTTTTTTTAATTTAAAAATAGTATAAAAAGAATATCAAAAACCGGTAGGGCTTTTTAAAAAGTGGCATGTAACTCCGTTGTTTTTGGTGCTAACACTTTAAAATTTTAATTAAGTGTATTTTAATAACTATATCTTACCAAAATCTGTGAAAAACGCAGTTTCGTAAAAAGTGTTGGTTAGGGCCTTTGTGGATTAAGGTAACGATATTCTGATTTCGAAAAGATGATAGTTTTTCCAAAATCATCCTTTTACAATTCAAAAGCTACTTTTACAGTACAAAAGTTATACACTCACGGAAAAAAGTATTTTCACAGAGAATTTGTAATAATGTATGCAAAAAATTCTATTTTAATTGTTTTCGTTGATGTCTTATAAAAATATGCAACAAAAATAATTAAAGCTGTAATTTCTAAGCTTTGTGCAAAACTCAGGAACATTTAAATAATGGTCAACTTTGTAATTCGATTTTTTATATTTTTTTTAGCACGCGTTTTTGTAGCCCATCCAATTTTAATATAAAGTGCAAGTATGAAGTTTTTAAAATATCGCGTTGATTTATGGCAATTTCTTCACACATTTTCTTCAATACAAAAAACATTTTCGAATGTGTAAAAAAATTGCCATAAATCAACGCGATATTTTAAAAACTTCAAACTTGCACTTTATATTAAAAGTGGATGGGATACAAAAATGCGTGCTCAAAAAATTATAAAAAATCGAATTACAAAGTTGAACATTATTTAAATGTTCCTGAGTTTTGCACAAAGCTTAGAAATTAAAGCTTTAATGTTTTTTGTTGCATATTTTTATAAAACATTAACGAAAACAATTAAAATAGAATTTTTTGCATACATTATTAAAAATTCTCTGTGAAAATACTTTTTTCCGTGAGTGTATGTAATGACTCACATAATCGTTCGCAAAACCATATTATACAGTACTCGAAAAGATTGTAGAGTTAAAATTGTTTGCAATTTTTCATAAAATTAAGCTCATAACATGATACCATATTTATCAAAGGTTCAAACTTTATACAAAATTTAGAAAGCTACAATTTTTTTAGTTTCCAAGCAAAAAAACTGTAAACCCAAAAGCTCTGGAAACTCGTTTAAAAAGTTAGAAATTTCAATAGAATTATGTAGTTTTTCTAAATTTTGTATAAAGTTTGAACCTTTGATAAATATGGTGTATCATGTTATGAGCTTAATTTTATGAAAAATTGCAAACAATTTTAACTCTAAAATCTTTGCGAGTATTGTATAATATGGTTTTGCGAACGCTTATTTGAGTCACTATATATAATATAGGCTAAAAAGCTTAGGTATGTGTGAGATAAACAAACCATAATGTTTAAAAACTTGTTCGTATAAATTCTTTAAGAATATTTCGTAATTCAAAGGCATATGAAGAAGAACGGTTTACTGCTCCCTGACGACAAGAATCTAATGGATTCACTTCATTTCTCCAGTGGCCATGAATCTCTTGGTTATTTTCATTTCGATCTACCAACTCAAGCGTGAAGTAGTTTCGATCGTTTTGTAGCATCAGAAAGTTGTGTAGAAGGACTGTAGCTAAGACTATTTTGTCTGCATTCTTTGGGCAAGCTGATATATTTGTATGAAGTATTCGCCAACGATTTGATAGAATGCCAAATGAATTCTCTATGTGTAACCGAGCTTTGGATAGTACCATATTGAACTTTTCCTTATCTGCCGGCAAATTACTACCTGGAAAAGGTCGCATTAAATTGGCCTTAAGTGGAAATGCGCTATCACCAACAAAGTAATATGGAAAACTGCACGATGTTCCCGGCAAATTAACTTCACGAGGCACTTCTAAAGTTCCGTTTAACAATTTCTTTCCGAAAGCACTTTGCGCGAGCATGCCGCCATCACTCTGACTTCCCAAAGCCCCGACATCTACGTAAGTAAAAACATAATTTGCATCGCATGCCGCCAGCAGTACAATGCTATAAGTCTTCTTATAGTTGTAATATAAGGAGCCACTGTTTGATGGACGGACAATATTTATATGTTTTCCATCAATTGCTGCTAAACAATTCGGCATTCCAGTTTTTACAACAAATTTTTCAGCTATTAATACTTGTTCCGATCGGTTTGGAGTAGATAGATATATATCATGAAGCTCATTCCAAATAGCGTCGCATGTTTCGTAAATAACTTGTTTTACAGTAGATACACCCATTTTGAATGTCCATGCATTTACATTGAAGTTGCACCCCTGAGCTGAAATTAATTACATACATATTTACAAAAACATTCATGCTTGATACGGTATCCGACGGATGCTATCCGCTCGGATCTCGTCCTATTCGCATTATCCTAACCATTGATTTAAAGACTTAAATTCATGCAACTGGCATCCTTCGGATACATGCCTGTTCCAGTCCGACGGATGCCATTCGCATGAATCTAAGTCTTTAAAATCACTCGTTAGGACATTGCGAATAGGAATAGATCCGTGCGGATAGCATCCGTCGGATACCGTAACAGGCATGATTAATGCCGGTTTTCTTACGTTCTTCATTTTGTTACATTAATGTTAAAGCCAAACGTGTTTCAGGACATATTGGTTTTCTGTTTGAGAACCGGCGCAGTCTCTCCTGCAGTAGTGTCAGCAACAAATTGAAGTTTTTGACCGTCATTCGCGTGACTTTATAAAAATGCTCCTCATCCTTTTGCTGCAACTGCTGAATGCATGTCCTGAAGAAGCCTTCCTCTTCTCGCGTATGGTTTGCAGGACGAACCCACCATCTCCTATTGTTGTTACACATTTTGAAAGTTTCGTTTGCTAGATGCACAATATGTGATATTTTAGTAATCGCAATCACAAAGTTATTTAAATTTTTTAGTTTCTCCATTTTACATATATTTAATTTTAAACTTTTCGTGAATTGTCCCGCTCTTTATGAAAATTGTAAAGGCAATAACAGCTGTTCCTCGCAACGTTGCTGTCGCTGCCATTATAATCCAGTTGCCTAAACTTGGCTACACTTGTCGACGAAATTTTTTTATTGTCGTGACGCTCTGTTGCCACTGTCTTCACTTTAAGTGCGTGAATATCCGCATATTCATGCGAAGTATACTGCGTGTTCTCTGTCATAGTATTAATAACACAATGTTCGAAGGGTCCAATTTCACAAAATCAACTTTCACTAATTCCGGTAAGTAACATAAAATAATGTCAGGAGCAGGTAATAATGTACCTTTGTACTATTTAGCATGTCATTGGTCGTTAACAAGAGCAACTTAAATTTAAATCTATTAAATACATTCTAGCGTGTCTCAGTCCTTTACCCACAAAAGCGCCTATAACTTTTTTTTCTATTTGAAACAGTAAGAGTGGCACCTTTCTGAAATCTTTATTAAATGCGCAATTTTTTTATGTAATGTAAAGTTGTAGCTCCGTACATTTTTTTTTCACCAGAAATATGCAAAGTTTGGGAAGAAAATAAGAAAAAGTTAAAAATCACAAAATAGTCATAATTTTATGATGGTTCCTTAATATATTTTAACTACATTGCATTTGAGTATGGAGAAGCAACTATCTGGAAGTATTTTACATAAAAAATTTACTAAGTATAGCCTGGTTTGTAGATGCTGTTAAAGAAAATACATGAAAAGGCACGTTTTTTTTAAGTAAAAAAAATTTAAATATTTCAAAAACGGTAACACTTTTACCTGAAAGTTTTTTATTTATCAGAGAGCTCACCCCCCACCTACCTTCCCCTAAAGTTTGGTAGGTTACTTCTGGGACACGCTGTATGTGTTGTGTACATGTTTATTTATAAACGTATGTGTTGATATATCTGTACTGTAGTGTTTTCGAGTATTACATATATGTGATAATATGAAAGTTTTAAACGTTCCATAATTAAATTGTGCGCCACTTGTATCAACTCAAGTCGAGCGCACGTTTAGTACATTCAAGGCTTTTATTCGCGAAAATCGAATGAAAATGTTTTAAAATGCATCTTGTTATTCAATGTTACTCAAACTATTGATATTAAAGTTTTGTGAGTTTAAAACTTAAAAGGAGAAAATAGTCAAAGACTTAAAGTAAACATTTTTCATATAATGAAACTAGTTCATAGTTTTTAACTTTTTACTTGTAAAATAAACATTTCTAAAATAAATGTATTTTTTGATTATTTTTCGCTTTTGTCTTTTTAGTGCCTTTTTGCGGTTTCTATTGCCTTTTGCTGCTTATTTCGTTGTTTTATTTTGACTTGTCTATCCTAGTTCGTTTTTTTATTTTGCCTTTTTAAACGTTTTTAAGTCCGTTTAAGTTTAAAATCCGTTCCCCGCTTATAAGGTATCATTGCAAAGGTATTTTCTCACTCGTTTTATTTGTTTGCTTAATTTAATTCAAAGCATTAACAAGTGTCATTTCAAGTTTAATTAAGATGTGTTGATATTTGAAAAACTTAAAAATTGGGACATGAGTTTTTTTGCAAAGAAATCCTTTCCACTGATACCTCATAAATCTAAATCGGTATAGTTTGGGTCCATTTATTTAAGTTTTTCTTAAACCAATCTTTGAAAGTTAAAAAAAACAGCATAAAAAATCTTATTATTATCATTCCGTTGAATATTGTTTAAATAATTTTATGCAGATTTTTTAAGTGTCAACTGTTTTATCGTCCGAAGGAATTTTTTGAAAAAATCTTTTAAGAAACTATTTTTTTGATACCAAACAACATTTTTGGAGGTATTTTCAAATCGGTCCAACTCATGTAAATCTTAATATTTTTCCAAAATATTTTGGTGGAAGTCTGCAAATATAATACATTTTGTAATTTCGGCGGAAAAACTGCAACTTTTTTGGTGGTGCAGTCTAATGTACATACAGTGGCGGCAGAAATAATAGACTCGCCTTACTTTCAAGAGTTTTGCCTGTATTTCTTTAGTTTATTTTATGTTTAATATTTTTTTATAAAAGCCCTGATAGTTATACAATAAACATATAAATCCGCTTTTGAACTTTGAACAAAAATTATAAAAATTCGACAAATCTTCACCAAATTTTCAGCGAAAAAAAATCTTAAAAATCCATGGTATTTTATAGCCGTTCGAAACTTGCATATTATTATAACAAAATTGAATGGGCTACAAAACTGCGTACCGAAACTTTTTCGAAAAATTTGTCGAATTTTTATAAATTTGTGTTCAAAGTTTAAAAAGTGGATTTATATGATGTTTGTTGTATAACCACCGAGGCTTTTATAAAAAAATATTAAAAATTAAATAAAATAAAGAAATATAGGCAAAACTCTTGAAAGTAAGGCGGGTCTATTATTTCTGCCGCCAGTGTATGTACATACATATCGTCACCTAAAATGCAAAATAACGTAACATCGCCATTGAAATGGAAAAAGTCGTGACTAATTGGTATTATTATTATTTTTTTCATAAAACGATGTGGGCAGTTGTAATTTCATGAAATCCATCATAGCAATCAGAAAGTGAATTTTGAATTTTTTATAAGTTACAACTTTTTGCATTTCAGTCACGATGATGTTACGTTATTTTGCATTAAAATGCAAATCCGCGTATAAAGAAAATGCAAAACCGCGTATGTGAGGTTGCATAAATTATTTTTTAGAGAGTAAAAACACTCATATTTCAAAATGGTTCCCTCTTTTATAAAGAAATCGCATTTATGGCTAGTATATTTCAGGACGAATGGATAAGGATTGCGCCAAGGGCTTGTGTGAGCAAATCCAATTTTTGGCAGCCAGTGTCAGTTACGCGGTTTTGCAGAATGGCGATTTGCGGGTTTGTACTTTAAACGACGGTATGTATGTATACCTTAACAAGATGTGCCAACAAGCAGAATTTGCATAGATACATACATACCTTAATTGTTTTACCATGAAACTGGGTTTGTTTTTAATATAATAGGATGACCGTCTAATCGTAATTATTACACATTTTAAAACTCCAAAAAGATACCATAAAGGATCGTCTGAAAAGACTAAATCCATTAAAAATAATAGAAATTCCCATCTCAAAATAGCATCAATTATATTTTGTTAATACCAATGTGGCCAGACTGATTTGAAATGTACAGTTTATGAAACTTCAAAAATGCCCGTATCAATCAAAAAAGTCTAAAGTGAAACTACCTTCTATTTTTTATCATGCTCTACTTCATATAAACTTCGACTAAATTTGTTTCATATTACAAGGTTGGCAATTCCGATTTCTTATAGAAATGGTTTTGTCTTTTTCTACCTCACAGCTTTTCTAACAGTTGTAGATTATTGAGAATAGCGCAGATTAAGCCAATAGGTAAATGATATTCGAAATAAAATAGTAGACTTTTTATTTGAGAAAATATAGTTCGCTTTTATGGGACGTTTCTTTATTTGGTGTTAACCGCTTGAAAAATTGTCGCAGAATGTAAGAAACCAGTATGCTATATGTGAGTGCGTTCACAAACCAGTGTTGTCCAATGTATCGACTTTGTTTGGTACAAAGTATATTGTGGCGAATACTGCGGCAACAAAGTCGAGGCTAAGATGGGCGAGTTGGAAGGTCGACTCCGAGACTTGCAGTTGAATCGTCCAGCTACTTCGACGAACGCTCCCAAGGTAAAGACTCCATCCTTTGACGGCACAATTCCTTTCCAGGTCTTTAAACTCCAAAAACCGGCTGCAGCAAATCATTGGAGCATGGAGGATAATTCCGCTGCACTATTCCTTGCATTGAAAGGACCTGCAGCAGAAATCTTGCAGACTATTCCCGACTGTGAAAGGAACAGTTACGATGCGTTGATGAGTTCCGTGGAGAGACGTTACGGTAGCGAGCACAGGAGACAGATTTACCAGATGGAGCTGGAGAACCGCTGCCAAAAAGCCAACAAGACTCTACAAAAATTCGCCTCAGAGATCGAGAGGTTGGCTCACTTGGCTATTGGAGACGCATCTGGTGAGCACCTCGAAAGGGTAAAAATCCAGATATTCATCAACGGAATGCGGGACGTGTATACCAAGCGAGAGACGTACGCGAATCCAAAGCCTACATTTGCTGAAACTGTCTCGTATGCTCAGACACGTGAAACGGTAGCACTCCTAAGTAGGCCAGCCTACAAAGCCCATCGAGTGGAAGTGGAGACACCGGACGAGCCAAAGGAAATGCTGAAGAAGCGAATCCAACTGCTGGCATGGCTCTGGTAAATGTTTTAAATGTGCTAAAGGCAGTGCAGCACGAAGGCGGCAGTCTGGGTGTCATGGACAGATGATGCGGCATAGATCTGGCGAAAAGAGTGCCCACGAGAAGACACATGTCTGGTCACGCCCAGTGGCCAGCAGAAGCACGACCATGTGAGATGGTGCACACCCGGAGATAAGCCGGAAGCAATGTCCAGTAACACATTGTGGTTGTACATGTCGCAGCAGAAGAAAAGCTTCACCTTCACGCAAAGACGTGACTGGAAAGATCCGTTTAAGATTGACAAACGGCTGAAAGACGCAGTGCATCGAATCCAGACAATGGGGAGACCGAGGACCAAGATGAAAGTGGTCCACTTGGAAAGACTTGCAGCGGTTGGAGCGACAAGTGTGTCTGATCGGGACGATCAGACTTAGGTGGAGTGCCGTGTGGCGAATACAGCGGCAACGTGAAGCGAACAACGAGAAATAGGCAGAATGTTCCACAACGAGAAACATCAAGTTGGATGAACACTGCGAACAGCGAGAGAAGGAGAATGAGCGATGAACTTCAGAACATTCTAGAGTTGCCATGAGTGCGAGCGCAGGTATATAAGAGCCATGACACAGCGGAGTTGAGTTAGTTACAAGTCAGCAAGCTACAAGTAAAGTGAGTTGCAAATAAGCAAGCTTGTGTTAACTAGTTTTGTAAAGAGTTGTAATTTCTTAAACAAGTATTGTTAAGTGTTTGTTGTACAATAAAGTTAATTGTACTGTAATTTGGTTATCGTAAGCATTTATTTAACAATCCAGAGATACGAACCGAAAGTTTTGGGAAATCCGAACGAGTAGTCAAGGATAATCGCAACAATATTTCAACACTCCCACTCATTGTTGGAAACAAAACGAAAACTTATGATGTCAACTCCATCAAACCACAGAGATATTTATGTCAAC